AAAAGGAAATAAGTTATTTTGAAAAAAGTCGAGTTTTAAAGTTGGTACGGTGTACTACAACATCGCTTAAAACAACAGATATTTAAATTATAATTCGTAGTTGACTATCAAATCTTCAACGACTTCCAAAGTTTCGCATCTTAAGTAAAATCCTGTAACAGAAATTACTGGAGTCATTTTAAATTTTCCTGTTGATAAGGGGCATAACTAGCAGCAAAGATGAAAAATAATGAACCATAAGTAACTCACCCGAAGAATGCAAATGGAGCTTTTTAATATCCACCCACTTGGACACTTGTCGGACAGCACCTCTTAATCACAATTTAATGAGGAGGAAAACTTAAGAAAGGCGGCACTAACATCAGAAAAAGTAAAGATCAAGTTTGATCAAACTCATTTTGTCCATTTCGAGTAAGTATTAAACTAAATTACTTCTAAAGATTACCATTGACTACTTTTAGAAGAATAATTATTGTGTAATACATTATTTCAGCCGCATAAAGCTTTCCGAAGTAAAAAACAAGAAATCACAGAAGTATTATTTATCGCACTGCAGTGAATTTCGGTTTCTTTTTATTGAAAATCACTTACCGTTCCTTTAAATAACTGGTAAAAAATGAATCAATTTGTTGCTTTCACTACCATTCATTTGTCTGAATCACTTTTGATGATATAAGTATCAACTTTGGTTTTTGTGTCTTCTTTCCTGGGATTTTCCCTAATTCTGTAAAACCTTAGTCTTTAAACTGCATTTCCTCTTTGGCTCCATCGAGCTGTATTAAATTCCTTTAATATTCTACTCAAATCCTTTGTTGTAAATCTATGGTAGATAAGGTCTTTACTTCCCAAACAATGTGTAACCTTTGAAGTGCTATTTTATAGCTCCACGTTACTCCAAAGAAAGTTAATAGTTTGGAGCCTTCTAAATTAAAAAGCCATTTTTGGTTGCCAATTTCAGATTTTATTGAAACCCTGTATCTTTAAAGGCGCTTTTACTAGCAAAGTTAGTCATTTTTAAAGGTTCAGCTGAATTTCTAAAAACACAAGGAAAAAGCTATCTTTTAAATTGTTGACTTCTTTATACTGATTTGTTGGATGCATTAAGGTTAATTAGAAGTTCTCGACTACTATACGGTGTGTAAATATCAGGTACAGTTTCTTTATGGCATTGATAACAGTGTGAGGTATCTCTTTTAGTGCATTTGCCTCATGTGTTCAAGTAAAACAAGAGACCGTATCACCTACGATGTTGTCGTAAATCACGGTTAACAAAAGGCGTTTGTCTCTCCTTCCAAAAAAACATCCCGGTAAATTCTAGTCTGTTTTTTGGTAAGAGATTTTTCATGATTGCAACAGGGTCCACAATATTTTTAGGAAAACTGAGTTTTTTTTCAAAGGTAATTTGCTATAACTTGGACTGCTTTGTACCTTACACTTTACTTGAATTATCCGGATTTGTAAGGGCTATATCATCCAGTTTTCCAAATATAATATCACACTTGGTCAAAGACCCGCCCACTTACCAGTCCCGTTCTTAAGATCTTTTTCTCGTTTCTGCGTGAAATCCTTTAATTTACGATTGTACACTTCTGAAATCTTCTAGCATCTCACATCTGAATTGTCGTTCAAGCACTAAAATTTTTTTTCAAGCAAAGAAAAACCGAAAGATATACAGAAGGCGAAGGAGCGGAAACTTGACCATTTTCCCTAGCAGAGCCTTTCCGGAAATACGACATGACAGTGCTGTATGCTTTCCATCCAGCGTACAGACAGCTTAACTCCCTCCTTTTGGCTACATCCAGAAGAGAGCAAGATTCTTGGCACTGGGCCAGCTGGCGGACCATCGTCAGTAGCCTTTTCGATCCGGGACTTTAAAGGACTGAGTAGATGCCAAACGTCTGCGTTCTTCATATTTTTCGATTCGCAAACTGTTGTTCTAAGTTCACTTACAATAATACATCATCGAACTTACTTTGCGTAAAATTAA